AACAGATCTAAAACTTGATTTTAGGCGGCTAGCCATGACATTTTAGAAGCTGCAATTCACTACTTCATTTTGGAACTTTACATTTTACTAGGGACCATGTTACTGGGCATTCACATCTGGAATAATTCTCCCCCTAGGAAACTGCTAAGGCACAACATATGAAATGAGTAAGTGAATATGTTGTTCTTGTCCTTTTTTCTCCTTTACCCTTCCTATTGGACATAATTTTCTAAATTAACATTTCTTCAGGAACATTGTTTCCACTGCAAACTTGGTCTGCCAAGTGGATCTGAAGAAAATAGCTTTGCATGCAAAAAATGTAGAATATAACCCAAAGGTAAGGTTTCTCAGTACTCCTTTCAACAATTAGCTTCTCTTTGGATTTATTTTCCTTCCTATAATCATGATATTGACTCTTTCCTTTGTATTTGTTTTCTCTTTTGTTTAATTTCTCTTTTTTTCTTAATAGAAATGTGGGTCTCACTATGATGCCCAGGCTGGACTTGAACTCTTGGCCTCAAGAAATTCTTCCACCTCAGCCTCCCAAAGTGCTGGAATTACAGGCAAGGGCCATGGCACCTGGGCTGTTTTTATTTTCTCTTTTAAAAAGAATTGTTTTTAAGTGAAAAACATTTTGGTAAACTCATAACAGCAATCATTCACTCTCCATTTTAACGTTATAAAAAGTAACTCGGCTAGGCTCAGTGGCTCACACCTGTAATCCCAGCATATGGGGAGGCCAAGGCAAGAAGATTTTCTGGGCCCAGGAGTTCAAGATCTTCCTGGGCACCACAGTGAGACAATAAATCAAAAACTTAGCCAGGCGTAGTGGTGTGCACCTGTAGTCCCAGCTACATGGAAGGCTGAGGCAGAAGGATCACCTGAGCCCAGCAGGTTGAGGCTGTGGTGGCCTTGATTGTACCATTGTAGCACTCCATTCTGGGCTACAGATTTTTTTTTTTAAATCTCATTCCCTGTACTGAATAAAGTGGTAATTGAGTAGTTCCTAGAAGTTAAGACCTTTTCCTTTTCAGTATAACTATTTTCAGCTTGACTGTTGGGACACTGGCTTTCTTAAAATGCCATCATATTTCTGGAAATACCTTCTTCTAAATGTTGTCTCAGGTGTATTTTTTCATTTACAATTTATCTTGTTTGAGAAAGTCATGTTGTTTAAAGTTCAGGCTTCAACTTCCTAAGATTCAGGAACTTTTATCTCCCCCTCAAAGTTTAGTAAAACTTATTATTTCTTGTGTCCTGCCAGGCTCAGGCATCCCATTTTCAGTGACCTCTTTATTTAGGGGAACTAGATTGGCTGACCCAATCAACATTTCACAATTTGCCAGCCTCTGGCCTTAGGAGCACAAAGATGAGTAAGACTGGACTCCTACTGAGAAAAGGCTCCCTGGCATCGGTGGTGGAGGATTTATGGAGTTAGGTAAAAAGGGTCACATTAGTCAGAGCCACAAAGCATACACGATGTAAGCATCAGCTCTTAAACATTTGTTTTTGCTGTTGAGGCAGTGTTGTTGCTATCATCTGGATTTAGGTGTTGCTCGAATGTTACTCAGATAAAATAAGAGTCTGCCTTCTCATATTTTATGTGGCTGGCTTTGAGGACAGAAACACAATGACAAGCTAGGATCCTTACAGCTGCAGCAATGATTGATCACGTGACTTAACAATCCAGCATTTTAAGCATGTTTTATTGTCCACTGTCTTCAGCTTATCCTCCCTTCATTCTTGATGGGAGCATATAGGATGTGTCTGAACTTACACTTGGCACCTGAGGAAATTCTGGCTTGCACTTACGCTCCCTTCAGAGTTTAACAAAATGAATATGGGATGAGAGTGTTACTTTTTAAACACCTGAAAAATATGAATAGGACTTGGCCAGATACAAGTACATAGTAGGCCACACCTTAGCACTTAGGGAGGCCAAGGAGGGAAGATAGCTTAGCCCAGGAGTTCAAGACCAGCCTGGACAACATAGTGAGACCTTGTCTCTACAAAAATTTTAAAAATAGCCAGGGGTGGTGGTAAGTGCCCATGGTCCCAACTACTCAGGAGACTGAAACGGGAAGATTGCTTGAGTCCAGGAGTGTGAGGCTGCAGTGAGCCGTGATCATACCACTGCACTCCAAGGTGGGTGACAGAGTGACATCCTGAGTAAAAAAAAAAAAAAAAAAGTAAAACACACACACACACGTGCACATGCCTTAATCAACTCTGTAGTGAAGAATCAGGATTCTTTTATGATCTCTTAACACCTAAAGCCTAAACTCTTAACACACTTGCCCATCTGGCCTTGAAGTGGCCTGTAGTTCTGCAATGAGCCCCGCCCCATGGAACTTACAGACTTGGGCAGATCCCATCCCAGTTTCCTTTCTAAGGGGAAGGGGACTGAGGTGCAGAGAGTGTCTGTGTGGGCCCAGCAGGAGGAGCAGGCCACTTGATGACTTGCCTGTCTGTTCATATGGAAGACGGGTGGTTCTCCACCCTCACATACACCGGCATCCCCTGGGCTTGCCAGGGCTGGTCTGGGGCTACACTTGGGGTCTACTACTGCAGGCAAGACCTTGACAAGTCAACCTTTTGTCTTTCCTCTTAGCAGGTCTATCCTTGTATAGATCTGTTCTGCACTTTGTTTGCTTTTTAGAAAATTCTAGAGTCTTGGCAAGCCTGTATTATATTTCTTTCTTTTTTAAGTCAGGGGCTCACTCTGTTGCCCAGACTGGAGTGCAATGGCACCATCATGGTTCACTGCAGCCTTGACCACCTGAGCTCAGGTGATCCTTCTTCCCCAGCCTCCTGAGTAGCTGGACTATGAATATGTACCACCACATCCAGTTCTTTGTGTTTTTTGTTTTTTGTTTTAAAGAGATATGGTCTCACTATGTTGCCTGGGCTGGTCTGGGCTCAAGCAATCCTCCTGCCGTGGCCTCCCAAAATGCTGGGGTTATAGGCATGAGCACTGTGCCCTGCCACCTGAGACATACTTCTTACTCTTGTTTTTTTCAAAGCTTCATTGAAAGAAAAAGGAAGCTATGTCAAAGTGAAAAGCACAGAGTTTGGGTTTTTTTTTTCTTTCAACTTCTTTATTAAGTTGGTTGCAAAAAAGATATAGATTCTCATATTGACAATTCTTGTCATGAATAAAAGCAACAAAATAAAGCAATAGTAAGATGTGCTTCACATATAAACCATCATGTTGTAAGAATAAGAAATTTGGATTCCCATACAGCAAAAAGATTAGAAAGCAAAACATAAGTAAGTCTGCATTCTGAGTATGCCTAAATGTGTGTGCAAAGAAAATACACCCATATTATACCTTGCTTAGGTTCCTTTGTTTATGATGCATAATTCCTTATTCATTCATGAAATAAGAATGACCATTAAGATACATAAAATTTGAATTTTATTTATTTTCATAATATCAACACTAAACTCAAAATAGCAACTTCATTGACTCTAAATGGTAAGTTTCCAAACTTGAAAGGCAATCAATTTTTTAATCCTCTGAATAGGGTCTGTGAAGGGGTCCAGCCCCCTAGAAGGGTCGTGAGGTTTCCTGAAGGAGAGACGGATAGGTGAAAGATGAAAATATTATACTCGGACACTTGCTTCCTGAACAGATGACGTTTAATGTTAGCTAAGGGAAAACTTTTATACCATTTGTAAAGGGGTAAGACAAAGAAAATTCCTTCACGTACATATCCTCTAAAAGTTACCACCATCTAGTGGTCTTAGCAACAAACAAGCCAAGAACCCTATAAACATTCAGACAATGAGTCTTATTCATAAGGCCAAAGATGATAGTTTTAGTCCAAAGTCCCGAATTACAGTCCTTGAACTGTCTCCAGAAAGTTTCCAAGTGTAAAGTTCTTCATGTAGCAGTAGTTTTCCTTCTGGGGCTTTATGACCTTCAGAGCTTTGTAATCGCCTTTCTTGTCCAGGTGTCTTTGTTACTTTTCTCTTATCCTGTGGTGTTTATTTCTAAAGAGAACTCAAAAGAAGCTTTTAGCAGTGTTTCCAGGCCCCCAAGGTTGCTTTCTGTCTTTAGCTAATTTATCATAAAAGTGTCTGATTAGTATATTATGAGTTCAGTGAAAACCCACTCTATAAGTGTTAACTTAGAGTTTTAACTATTGAATTAAGTAAAAACCTTAATGATTAATCTTTATCCTAAGTTAGTGAAAACAGTGTTATAAATCACCTACATAACTCCTAGATAAGTGTTAAAACTTATAATGAATTCATAATGAACTTACTATAAACTTGTGCTTCTAAAAAACCTTATGTCTAAACATTAAACTACATAATTCTAAATCAAATAAGGAGTGAATATACTTATATCATTTATTACTTAAGCAATATCTAGTAACTTATAACCAAGTGAAAAAAAGCATTCTTGATGTGCTTCAGAGTTTAACCCTTGCATATGTTAGAAAAGGCCAAGCGGCATAGTGGGAAAATGGGAAAATGAACCATGACATTTCCAGGTTAGCTGTGAGTACTTCGCATAAACGTGCCATTTTCTTCTTCCACGACTGCACAGAATTTCTTCAGCCGTACCAACAGCAAAGACAGAAGATAGAAGGGCGTCAGCTTCCTGGACTCGTGGGGGGGGGGGCGCGGGGTCCTCAGCACACCTGGACCTTGTCAATCAGGCGGGCCTCCAAGGCTGGCTCCCAACAGGTCTGCAAAAACAAGTGGGTTACTTTGTACTGCTTACAAGGAGACTAGGAATCAGTCTGTGTTTAAATAGCATGAGCAACAAAGGACAGCCAACAAATATCACTGAGAGTAATGCCCATACATACATAATATCTAGCTGAGTCATGTTCTTCCTACTTATACAGCAAGCCTATTAAACCACCAGTGTAATAGAAGCCTATACTTCACACAACATCATTACTAAATTAACTAACTACACATCTGTTAGAATTTCCAAATCCCTGCTCACAACACAATTTTAGTACATCTGTTGAGTATAGCAAGTCACTTAAAAAAACAGAAATAAAACATACAAGTCTTTGCAATTAAACATTTTTCATAACATGAACAGTGTTAGATAAAATTTTGAACTAAATATGTTTTTTTTCTAAATACAATTTACTTAACAAGGTTTTCTTAAGAAAAGACAGTTCTAGCCGGGGTTGGTGGCTCAGCCTATAATCCCGTGCCTTGGGAGGCTCAGGTGAGTGGATTGCCTGAGCCCGTGGTCTTGAGAACCTCCTGGGCAACTTGGCGAGACCTCATCTCTACAATAAATCAAAAATTAGCCAGGCGTGGTAGCGCGCACCTGTAGTTCCAGCTACTCAGAAGGCAGAGGCGGAAGGATCATCTGAGCCCAGCAGGTCGAGGCTGCGGTGGCTGGGAGCGGCCACTACACTCCAGTCTGGGCAACAGAGTGAGACCCCCAACTAAAAAAAAAAAAAAAGAGAGAGAGAGACAGTTCTTAGGTATATGATCTGTTCAAACTTATAGTAGGGTATTCCAAATAAAGATTTTTTTTCCAATTAAGATATAGCAATATAACTCTTTTCTGAGTGAAGATACATGTTAAGGCTTATGGTGTAAACACTTTGGAAGGCAAACAGCTTAGTAAAAATATTACCACTCATTTAAAAATGTGTATCATCTTATAACAAGCCCCCTAAAATTTCAAATTTACATGTGAAAATACATTTACATCTCAAATTTCTAGAAAGGCACAGTCTTTAATGTAAAAAAGCAGCAATGTTTTAAACCCACCAATTTATTTAAAAAGCCATCACTTTTATTAGAAACAAATAATGCTTCTCAAGATGTTAGCAACATGTCATAGTATCATCATATATTTCATATAGTGTATTTCTTCCTTTAATTATGTTCCAGAAGGAGGTGGAATACCTCCTTGGCTATGGGAGGCAGAAGTGTTTGATGGACTGTGTAAGCTGGTCTCCTTGTACACAAACCAAGCATTTCCTCCCCAAAAGTATCAGATTCAGAAAGCCAAAGATCACAGATACATTTAGGAATCCCATACTGGTCACAGAGCCAAAATGACATGTCACTCCCAACTTCTTACAAGGTGCAAGTTCCTGAACAATACTGTAACCAGTAGTTACTTTAATATCTGTAAGAGCTTTAGCCCAGGCTGAAGTGCCCACCAACCATAAAAAAGTGTCAACAACTGTAACAACAAAGTCAATCATGGGAAGTTTATAACTACCCCGACACAGGTTTGTGTAGCCAACATAAAGCGGAAGGGCAGCAATGCAGAACAGAAACACAAAGACTGCAAATGTAACATAGAATTATGCCACAGAGGAGTAATCTCCCATGAGGACTTCATTTTTCCAATTTACATTACACACATTTACTTCTGGACATGACTCAAATGATGCCTGATTCAATCTGAATGGGTCACCAAAAGTAGCTGTAATCGTTTTACTGTCAGTAACTGTAGGAGGGCAACTCACTTGAATTTCTGTTTTGCCTTTATAGCCTCCACAGGTGGCAAAGGCAAAGATGGAAGCAATCCACTCGAGGACCTTGATGAAGTCGAGCGGCTCCTTGAGCGGACTGAGGTTGAGCTGGAAGGAGGACATTCTCTGAGGGAATGAGGGGGGAGAGAGTCAGGATGGCGGGGTGGAGGAAGAGGGGACCGATCCAAGTTTTGGTTTTTAAATTTTTTTTTTAAGTTTTCAAGCAAAGTTTATTTAGAAGTAACATAGAGACAGAGAGAGAGAAGGTAGAAGAGGGGGCCAAAGCCAAGAAACATGGTGGCCATAGCTCAAAGGGCCATGTGGACAAACCAGAGGTTAACAAAGCAATGTCCAAGTTTTTAAATCTTAACTCTGCCATTTTCTGTATAATGTTGGAGGTTAATAATGACTTAGTCTCCCTGTGCACTAAATAGAAATCATCATAGACTCAAGTTAGTTTTGTAATGAGGATAAACAAGACACAACTGTAAAGCTCTTAGCAAAGGGCCTGAAACGTAAGTTACTGGTATTCCCCTTAACAGTTGTTGGAATTATTTGTATGTGCTGGCAAGTGCATTTTAGCTGTAATGACATTTGTTAATGTGGGGAGAAGAGATCCAGACATTATTTAGCGTTTCCATGCAATCTCTCTTTCTTCAAAGACTTTCATATCTGGCTCCTTTTTTCCACTGGGATAATGTCCTCTCCTAGCAGAGGCTAATTCTATTTTTGGCCTATGTGCACAGAGGTTTCCTGCTGTCATCATGAGGGTCTGAGAGCCCAGGATGACAACCCACATATTTAGCTTTGGGAAGCTCATCTGCACAGGAGCCAAAAGGTGCGAAAACTGTCCCTCCACCTGCACCAGACAGACAATTTAGTATGTAAAGCAAGGAAGCATTGTCTTTGGTGAAGAGTTGATTCCATAAAATGCCAAATTTGGGGTTAAAAATCTTGTATTACTGCCTTATATGTCCCATTTACAGTTCCCCCAACCTATTAAACTAAGGAGGCTTAACTGAACTGTTATCACTTTTTTCTTTTTTGAGTCTAGTTCTCACTCTGTCACCCAGACTAAAGTACAGCAGCATGATCACAGCTCACCACAGCTTCAACCTCTTGGGCTCAGGGGTTCCTTCTACCTCAGCCTCTTGAGTTAGCTGGGACTACAGGGGCACACCAGCATGACTAATTTTTGTATCTTTTATTGTAGAGTCAGCGTCTGGCTATATTGCCCCGGCTGGTCTCAAACTCCTAGGCTCAAGCCATCCTCCCACTTTGGCCTCTCAAAGTGCTGGGTTTACAGGCATGAGCCACCATGTTTCTAAGCTTTTTTGTAAGGTGCATTTTTTTTTTGAGTTGGAGTCTCACTCTGTCGCCCAGGCTGTATTGCAGTGGCATGCCCACGGCCAACCCAGCATTGACTTGCTGGGCTCCAACGATCCTTCCACCTCAGCCTTCCAAGTAACCGAAATTACAGGTGCATGCTACCATGCCCAGCTAATTTTTTTAAATTTATTTACTGTAGAGATGAGGTCTAGCCAAGTTGCTCCAACTGGTCTCAAACCCGCAAGCTCAGGCAATCCACTCGTCTTGGCCTCACAAAGTGCTGGGATTACAGGCTAAGCCACTAAGCCTGGCCAGTGCATTTTTTAAAAAACTACAGTAGGCCAGGCACAGTGGCTCAGCCTGTAATTCCAGCACTTTGGGAGACCAAGGCAACAGGATTGCCTGAACCCGGAGGTTTGAGAACAGCCTGAGCAACTTGGTGAGACCTTGTCTCTACAATAAATAAAAAATAATAAGCCAGGCATAGTGATGTGTGCCTGTAGTTCCAGTTACTTGGAATGCTGAGTTGGAAGGATCACTTAAGCCCGGCAGATTGAGGCTGTGGTTGCCATGAACATGCCACTGCACTCCAGCCTGGGTGATAAGAGTGAGACAACTCAAAAAAAATAACTACAGAAATGATAAAACATGTTTTAAACCTGGGGAGTAGCTACTGTGGGTTTTCCTCATTGCAGATAAGTGGGTAGAACTTATTTCGAAGGAGGTAAATTAGATGTTTCTTGATTGTGCACTTGGCATTAGCTCAGATGGCATCTTTTGAAAGGCTCGTCTTTCGTGAACTTCATGCAGAGGAAGCATCGTGCAGATGTAGCTCTCTCACCATAAAACTCCAGTGGGGCTGCTCTTCTCACCAGAAGCATTAAAAGATGAGTAGGAAGCCGGGCTCGGTGGCTCAGCCTGTCATCCCGCGCCTTTGGGAGGCTGAGGTGAGTGGATTGCCTGAGCCCGCGGGTTCGAGACCCGCCTGGGCAGCAAGACCTCATCTCTACAATAAATCAAAAAATCAGCTGGGCGTGGTAGCGCATGCCTGTAATTCCAGCTACTTGGAAGGCTGGGGTGGAAGGATCGCCGGAGCCCAGCAGGTCGAGGCTGCGGTGGCCGGGAGCGGCCACTGCACTCCAGTCTGGGCGACAGAGCGAGACTCCAACTCAAAAAAAAGATGAGTAGGAAAGTGTCCTCCTGAAAGACTGTGCCAATTTCTCCTCACTCCAGAAATGTGCTAAGTGCTCATTTTCTCCTGTGAACATGGGGAGTCTATGTTCCTTTTAATATTTGCTAAATTGATTGGAAAAAAGTTGTTTTAATTTCCATTTATTTGATTTACTCATAGGATTAAGTAACTTTCCACAAGCATATAAACTGTGATGTTATTTGCCCTGTATGCTATGGTTATTTGTTAATAACTTCTTGTAGTTAATTATTTTCACCATTTTATACTGTGAATATTTTCATAGCTTGCTGTTGATGGTGTTTTTTTAAAGCATGATCTAAAATGTTTGTGTACAGTCATGTTCATGACTTATTTGTGGTTTCTGTCTGATGCCTGGTTTCCTGACTAGGAAGGCCTTCCCTGTAGACAACATCCTGTGATATTGTCGTCCGTGTATCTCTCTGGCCTTGTTAGGTCCTGCTTTGTGGTAGGGAGAGAATAGCTGGCACTGTGGCCCACCCAGAGCTTTCTCTAGAGGGTGGAAATATCTGACGCCTGTGTTGTCCAAGAGTGTGGCCTCTCATCACACGTAGCTGTTGAGCACGTGAAATGCAACAACAGCAATTGACTATTTTGGTTTAAATGGCTCAGACAGAGCAGGTCTAGATCTGACTTCACCGTAAGGTGAGGTGGATTCAAGCAGCCAGTCCATACCCAGACACATTTACTGAAGGTTCGTTCTCACTCCATTTCCCCTGCCTGTCTGCACATATGCAGTCCCTTCCAGGTGTCTGAGGCAGTTTCTGGGCTTTCTCTTCTGTTGCTACGTGGGCTCCTGGTCTCAGAAACCCCTGCTTCACGTGATGATTGGACAATTGTGCAAGATGTCTGCAAGGATACTCACATCAGCATGTTTAGAAGAAGGGTATCAAACATACATGTCTAATCATAGGGTTTTGATTTTAAATCGTAAAGCAAAATTGTATCAGCCATATACATGTGTATACATATTAGGCTGGAAAGCTGGTCACATCATGTTAAGTTGGGGTGTAGACAGCTAATTGTAGATTTATTATTCATCTTTCATTGTAAACTGTTCTCACATTATACTTATTACACACACACACACACACACACACACACACACTCATTGGTGAGTAGCTTTCCCTATCTGAATTTATTTGGTTTCTAAAATCAAGTAGTGAATGTGTGGATGGTGAGTTCTGATAACACGATATCTGTGATCAAATGCTTTTGGTTCTTGATTTTTCGATAGTGAGCTGCGAGAATTTGGCTAGTAGAAGAGATATCAGTATCATCACCAAACATCTGTTAGAGCTGATTTTTTTCCAACTGTGACAGCAAGAGAGATGGAAGCCTGTGTTTGCACAGGGTAAGAACAGCCATTCTCATCTCCGTGGAGAAATTGCAGGGCTGTCATCTGTTTTCTAATGTTTGCACAGTGAACATGGATGGAAACTTTTTGTTTTGTTTTGTTTTTGAGTTGGAGTCTCACTCCGTCACCCAGGCTGGAGTGCGGTGGCACAATCACGGCCACCCCAGCGTCAACTTGCTGGGCTCAGGTGATCCTTCTGCCTCAGCCTTCCAGGTAGCCAAAACTACAGGCACGCGCTACCACGCCCAGCTAATTTTTTGAATTTTTGTGGAGATGAGGTCTCCTCAAGTTTCCCAGGCTGTTCTCAAACTCATAGGCTCAGGCAATCCTCTCACCTTGGCCTCCCAAAGTGCTGGGATTACAGGTGTGAGCCACCGCACCTGACAGGTGTGGAAACTTTTAACAACCAGTTGTTTCAATAGGAACTTGTGTGTCCTTCTTAGGATGCCCACTGTGATGTTCTACACAGCTGAAACTACAGGATGATGCAAACTTCTGAAATTTGAACTTATTTGCCTTATAGGAAAGAAACATAATACATCAGTTAGGCCAAATGTAGCTGTTGTTCAAAATGGAAGCCATGTATCTCACTGCTAACTTGGGGACATGGCGTTGCTAAGGGCATTTCAGGAATTAGATTGGGTGGGGAGAGCCAGGTGGTGCCTGTAGTCCTAGCCATTTGGGAGGCTGAGGTGGGAGGACCCCAGAAGTTCTAGGCTGCCATGAGTGTGATTGTGCCACTGCACTCCAGTCTGAGAGACCCTTATCTCTGAAAAACAAAGAGTAGGTGACAATAATCCACATTAATTAAGGTGAAGTGTATCTGAAGTAATGAATGCACATGAGAGAGGCAGTCTTGGTGAAAGATCTAGGTAAGAGAAGCAGACTTGGTTGGTCCAGGCAGACACGTTCCAAAGGGTTTTTCCACTAGATAACAACGGGGGCAGCCCAAGAGAAGGATGGAATTCGCCTGATTCACCTGCCAGGTGCCCCACTTTGGAAAGCTCCGCTATGCACTGTATCATTCTGGCAGTGACAGTCTAAGAGAATCTAATGACAGACGAAGCCTCGACTCTCAGACTTCACCTTCTCCCAGGTGAATTGAGGGTTGGGGTGTGACAGACTCCATGAGGACATGGCCACAAAGTGGAGAGAATTTCTCCCTCCCCTTTTTCCTCCCTCTCCCTTTCCCTCCCTGCCCCTCCTTCTGCCTCTCCCTCTCCTTCCTTTCTTTCCTCACCTTCTCTCCCTCCCTCTCCTCCCTCTTCCTCCCTTCCTCTC